AGTATTGGTTATATTAGATAGAAAAAAGAGAAGTAATGTGTAAAATCTTTCATGTATAAATATCACGAAAGGTCACGTGATGCACGAAATCACCAGATTATCAGTAATGAAAAGGCGATGGGAAGATGTAGTTTTTATAATAATTAATGATAATGTTGAGGATGATGATGTTGATGATAAAATGATGATGATGATGATGATAATCATAATAATAATAGAAAAATTATAGCAATCATAAAATGAATGAAAAATACCAACTTCAGATGATAAGTATATGTTAGGTTTTTAAATAAAGGAAGTCACCCCAAAGGAAGTGACCGTAGGGAGCGATCGTGGGGTTTTAATGTTTAACCTCATTTGGAGCGCCTCAAGCCTATAGAAAGTTGTTTACAATACAGGGGGTCGAACGTATAGCGGTGCGATACTCCCTTAAGCGAGGTGAATTCATGCGATACGCCCTAATGGCGGACGGGAGCGAAAACGAAAGTTGGTATGAGCATGTTTTTTTCCAAATATTTGTTGTCTATTGTAATTTTTTGAAGAAAAGCATTGTGCATGCTTATCAGAACCTATAATTGTGCATGATTGTTAAAATAAAATACTAAATTGATGAAATATCAAATTTTGAAATTGTATGTTAATCATATGAAAACCACAAAACCACAGTGTCAATTAAAACAACAGTGTCAATTAATGTATTATACTAAAGGTATAGTTAATTTAAATATTCTTTTCTCACAAAAATTAATCATTAAAATGAGATAAGTTATGCACAGAAATTTGAAAAAAATATGATAAACAAGATCAACAAGGAAAGGCGGCGTTCAATGAACGCAATCCCCACACGACCCAGCAACAAGAACCAATGGCAAGGAGCCCAGGCGGACCCCAAACAAAAACAGGACAGGGCAAAGACAGAAATTCTATCAAGTAATCAATAGTCACGATAATATCCGTTTTGTTTCTTCCATTTTTTTGCAATGGAACTTGAAATTTATAAAAAAAAATAATACTGGTTTGATTTCCTCTATGGATTGGATGTTATATATTATATACAGAGCACATCATTGTATTTCAGTTATTCTGATGTTGTCATTAGCTCTGTCGCTTTGAATATATAATTATGCTACTCCATAACCAGTGTATACCAAACAGCTTTGTGTATTTGCTTATGAAAGCATTCATACTTTTAGTGATTTAACATATCTGCCAGTAGTTTTACTTTTAAAACTGGGCTTTCTCTGCAACATTTAATGTATAGCATATCACTTTTTTGTTAATATTCATTTCCACTAGGAGTTCCTCTTATTGTTAAAGCAACTGTACCAAGAGATTTGTACTGTTACAGGCCAACAGCACTTTTTAACAGTATAAAATCTGGGAAAGTGTTTTTGTTTTTTTTTTAATGTAAATAAAAGTATTATAGATTACAGTATCTGTTCGGGAAATAAAATAAATAACACACAAGCGTTTGTGAGTAACAGTAAAAATATCAACCCTCATAAAAATACTGTTTCCCTCGGCTAACACCTTGGCTAACAGTATTTTCCTTGGGATGATATTTTAACTGTAACCCACAAACCCATGTGTTATTTATATACTACTCCATAAGCAGTGTGACTCAATCTAATATTATATATTATATACTCAAAAGCTTTTTGTTTATTTGCACATGTGTCAGCATTTGTACTTGTTGTACTTTACCTATCTGGCAGTAGTTGTGTTTGTTAATCAATTTGTAATGTTTTAATTGCTCTGCAACATTTACAACTGTGTATCTGCACATGTGAGCATCAGCTGTTCCTAAGAAAGACACTGAGCTGTTTGGTGTCCAATGACTGACTGAATTTTGAAATTGTAGTTTTGTGTTTTTTCCTGACAGGCCACAATTATGTGCACTACAAAAAAAGCCTTTTCTAAGCAATATTTTAGAAAAGAATTTTACCACCTAAAGATTTTTACCACCTGGTTCTCAGTCTCTATCTCTAGAACAGCAGTGAAATTTACTTTCACTGTATTTTATAGGTTGTTTGAAATGTTCAATTCTATTTATAATATGAAAAAACTATCAGTTTGACAGCAGCATGTACAAACGATCTTAGAACCTCATGAAGTAAATCAGCCCTTATATCACATATTAACTGCTATTTTTCTGAAATGTTCTGCTTTGAAAGTGAGTAAATTTATACAAGATTTCTTAATTGGTTTCTTAAATTCATTCTTACATATTTTGGTCAAATTCCTACTTTTTATCTAAGATCTTAGAGTAAAGGTTACTTTTTTCCAACTCCTAATTATCACAGGATGATTATTATTAATTATTCAAATTAAGTTCAAACACTTATATAGATGGTTATACAAAACTTTTATTTCAAGTAAATCTTTAAGAAAGGAAGAACATTTCAGATTTCCGGAAACGGGCAAATATATGGTAGATATCTTAGTATAAACATAGGAGAACATGTACAGCAGATGTGATAATGAAAAATATCGAACCATTAACAGCGTACAGTTATTTTATCGCACCAAAATCCAGCGTACACTTAAATATTTTGACCAGTAAGCGTCTATGTATATCTGAGCACAAAGGTACTTGCTATGCAACTCAATAATGATTACTCTTATAGAATAAAGTAGAAAAAGAAGTTAACTATATTAATATAAGCTTGCATTAAGCGATTTTATTCACCGACCCAAAATTAGTTGCTGTCAGTTTACCTTCAATAACTTTTTTAGTTATGAATTTAGGCCTCTGTAATTTTGATGAAATGTGTGTCGGTCCTATCTTCACGTCCTCAATACAAAATATGCAATTGTAATCAAAGATTTATGAAGTGCTTAATAAAAAACACTCACTCTGACGTGTGTTTACACGGGTAAATGTGTAGGAAGCTATTAGCTTATAGACACACTTTCAAATCCGTTCCTGACAAACCAAAACTTAGCAATGAGTGTAAAGTTTCTTGCTCAGGAAACGACTTGTCACTGACGGCAGGTTTGAACCCATGCGGCTAGCTAGTCCGACGCGTTAACCACTCGGTCATGCCGCCAATAGTAGTAAAGGCGGTAATTGATTGTATGAAGAAACGTTGACTTAGTTCTCACTTACAGAATTTTACCAATGTCACGTCGTTCTATTGAGGCGGTGCTACTACTTTCAGTTTACACATGCGCAGTTCGTTCCAAAACTTCTTAATTATTATGTTCTCGACTTGAATAATTGACAAAATTTGCCTGTTTCTGTAATTTAAACATTGAAGCGGTTTCATTGGTCGACAAATGATATTGAACACTAAGAAAAACATTATATTTGCTTCACTCTTAAACTTTCTTTTTTTTCTGTGATTTTAAGAAAAAAACATGTGTTATATCTATACATTTTGCCTGTATATTTAACTATTGCAACATTTTGTTTTTATTTCTTGTGAAAGTCAAAAAGAAAGTTTACATTTTTCCACAATTCCTTTCAATTTTGTAATTTACTGCGCATGAACGATAAATAAATCACATGGCCTGTAAACATCCATCTAAATTTACCTGTTCCATTCATTTTTTTTAAAAAGCATATTAACTGTTAGCCAATCACCATTTTAACAGTCAGGCTTTTTAAATATACAGTGATTCAGCTCAACTAAAATGAAAAAATGTAAGAAATAAAAAATATAAATAAAATGAGCGCAATGTCACTTAAAAACGTCCATAAGATTAGCAATTAGTATTTGAACTTTCATGGATCGTCGTTTTAAAACAGTTTATCTGATTATTTCAACGCAGTAAACTTTTAACCTACATTTAAACAAACTCCTCCAAGTAGAATATGAGGTTAAAGACCACATTAAATTTTGTTTTTGGAAATTTTAAAAAGTAAAATAAAGTTTTAAATAATCTTATCAAGCATGGCCTAGCGTGCACTTCATTGTTTTTGGATTGCTGATTAATTTTGTATTAATGCAATTATGTTTTTTAAGAGTTATCATTTCAGCTAAAAAGTTACGTCAACTTTGAATTTAATTTGTCTTCATCTTAATTTATACTATTGTTCTAATGTTTGCTCGATAATAACAAAGTATGAAAAAATATGATGTCTAATAAAATAGGCGCTTCAACACACAATCCCTGTGCTGAAAGACATACACTTTTGTGAGACCCCCCCCCACCCCCCCCCCCAAAAAAAAAAAAAAAAAAAAAAACACACACACTCAATCAATTTTTAAAATCAACGGTAAACATTATTTTCCTCAAAGGGACTTGATACTTATATCATTTTTCTTATGAACAGACAAAACGTCAAACTCCTATGTTCATGTACAAGTTTCTTTCATTGTGTAATATTTATGATGAATATTGGAGGATATTTGTCAAATATTATATCAAGATGATTAAGTTGTTTTATTTAAGTGTTTTATTGTACACAAACAATGTTAATACATTTAAGTTATTATGGATATCAACCTGTTACGTAAGAATGTGCCATTTTTTCTATTCAATTTTATTTAGAGGATATTTAAAAGACAGAATTAGAAATACAGTAGATTGTTTCTGGTCACATTTTTCTTGCGTAATTTAACCTTCAGTCAGCACCTTGAGCTCCTACACTGAACTGATATAATCACTATCTTTTACCCTCGGAAATGTTTAATCCTTGTCAACTATCAGACCAACGGGTTATCTTAATTTTGTCCTCGACGGACAGTTCAGTTCGTTCATTTGTAACAAAATGCTCATTTCAAGTGCAATAGTTTTACAAATTCTGGGCAAATCCACAAGCAAACCTCATTGCATAAAAGTGAATTAACACACAAGCAAACAACAAGGTGCAAAAAAAACAAAACAGAATAACTCAACACAAAAGACCCCATGTACACAGCTTAATATGCTGATCAACATTTCTGTAATCTGTGTTGATTCTAGCTCAAGCACTTTTAGGGCTACAAAAGGCACAAAATGGGAACGTTCACACGAACTTACACACACAAACACGGAAAATATTTTCAATCCAATTCAATTCAAAAGTTTATTGCATAAAGCATGTAAATACAGTGACTATAGCACAATACAAGTTACCATTTCATGATATGGAGCACATGGAGTGTCATGTCCTTTCTGTGCTCGATCACGTGACCTACACACAAAATAAGTAAACATATGTGAAATATTTTCATCAGAAACAACTGAACAATAAATATGTTTGATTTGGTATTTTACATTATTTTATGTTAGACTGAATATAATATTATACCAAAGGATACATTTCTTTCTCTCTCTGTGTGTGTGTGTGTGTGTGTGCGTGTGTTCGTGCGTGAAAATGATATCTTCACGTTGACTACTTTGAAATGACAATCTGGCATTACCCAACATTCTGCCGCACAGATGTTTTATTTTCAACTTGTATACATCGTCATAGACATATATATAAGTTCACAATACATATAGATATTTTAATGATTATGACAGAATAGCTTCATAAGACAAATATGACATTGAATTAGCAAGTTTGCTAATTAAATGTTTGTTATAAAACCACGCTAGAACCATTAAAATTACCTCTAATAAAAATAAGCTAAATGGACAAGTTTCACGTATGCAATTCATATTTCACTGAATGATTGTGAATTTCAAGTGTTGCTTATTAAAAGTCATCCTAAAAAATTAAATGTGCCACTTATCACTTCCTGGCTCTTTAAATCTACAGAAGTTACTACTATTTCAGTTCCTCCAAATCTAAATTGTACATTGAAATCACTTGTTTCTTGTTCTGGTGGTAATGAAACGTGCAACGTTCCAAGTAAAAGGACGCCTGTGTCATCAGTATACATAGGATGTGGTGAATCTGAACAAACTATTCTGAAACCGACTTTCTCTTGGTATGGCACAATTGTCGAGTGCTCTTGGCAAACTTTCGTATCTAATGACAAAACCTCTCCAATGCCAACAAATTTCCTGAAAACTTTCTTGCATCTTTCTTTCCCACAAATTACAACGCGACGAGATTCATCGTGAATTGAGGCATCAAAAAGAGGCGATATTTCGATACCATAGGTATATTTACTTACACGCTGAGTAATAATATGTGGTGTTAGACCATACAAAACTGCTCCTCTAAGAACAGCTTCAATAGGACTTTCTGGTACGAGTACTTTCAAATTTGGAAAAGCTCTTGCAATAGCATTTTGCATTAGACTACTTTCTGAGAATCCACCCGTTAATATTATCGCCTTTATTCTGTCGCGAGACACTGTTCTCAGAACATCGTCAATGTGCTGGATTATTTGATCAGAACATGGCTTGAAAAGTGATTTTAAAGTATCTGAACTGATTCTTAGCCTACCTCGACTGTATGAAATGTTCTCTCGATAAGCAGACTTCTTAATTGCTTCATTTACATCACCAATTTCTTCTTGGTATCGATGCAACATAGAATTTTTAAAATTGATAAACGTTATATCATCGGTTTCGTTTGAAATTCTTAGTTTTATCCGTTCAAAATCTCTTTGGAAGTCAATATGATCCCATCTGTTTTCTGTACAGAACTTTGAAAAAAACAATTCTCCTACTAAGTACTCAATCAGCTTAAAAAACGCAGCGTCTACTTTTTTACTACCACATGCACAACCGCAAGGTGTATGAAGTACATGTATTTTGAATCCTTCGTGATGCTCAAATGCCAACGGCGTAATGTCAACAGTCCCACCTGCAAAACAAGATTGCATTTGTGAAAAAAATGCTATCCCACGCATTGATATAGCAGAAGTAGATTTTTGTTTTCTTTCTTTACAATAAAAATGTATCATACTTCAGTAATGTCTTGTGAGTTAGAAGGTCAAAGGTCTTATTTCAGCATGTCAAATGAAAGACAATGTGCAGATGTGTTATAACACAACGATCATAGTGCAATACTTGATTAAAAAGTAAAAGAACTTCTACGTGACAAAAAATTGTGTATTTACAGTATTACATAGTTGTATTAAATTTTGAATAGCAGGTACAGTTTTTTCCCTTAAATATTATCTTTTAAATTAAAATAATCTTATTTCTAAAACATAATGAAAAACATTAACGATTTAAATTCATCATTATATGCATGGTGTGAATCATAATGTTCTTATAATGTGCTCAAATTGTTTCGCAAAGCTTAGATTTCTCTTGCAAGAGTTCACAACCTTTATTCATTTCAGGAATATCTCTGAAAAGCAAATATATCTCGCTAGATGTCATGACATTAGACTTATTCCCAGCTATTGAACATTTTTTAGAAAAATTGCATAACATGTATAAAAGACATTCCAATATAAGTTGTTTCCCTTCAGAAAAGAAGAGTTTTACCTTGTATTACCGTTGTGCATGCTTAGTGCGTGCGTGTGTAGCGGTATGTTTAGAGTTATATGAGTTTGTGTGTGTGTGTGTGAGTTCGTTTACATGACAAAAAAGGCCAGGCCTTAACTCCTGCATGCATGATGGAATTTTTAAATAAACTAGAACTACCACTGTCATGGCATGAATACCTCCGCATACCACTTTGTCAGAATCAACAGTGGTCGTTTAAAGCTCAAGGACAACCTCCTTGCGAAATCTAAGGGTAGTTAACCAGTGCATTGCTAAATTATGTATTCTACATGTTTTTTGTAGCAAAGTTCAAAATGACCTTTACCTTTGACCTCAACAGTGAAACTACCACTGCTGTTGAATATCCCAATTCATGCAGTTTACCTATAGTCATAAGGATCACTTTATGGACATGATCAACCTCAATGTCAAATATGAAGTCTGTGGGTCAAAGTTTTTTTAAGATATTGGGCGGACAATCTTTTTTAGTTAAGGCCCCTGTGACCTTTCACCCATGACCTCAAACTCAATATGGGAATATAAAGACTGTGTGTCAAAGGATCCTTAAGTTATTGGGCGGACAAACTTTTTTTTAGTCAAGGCTCTTCTGACCTTGGCCTTTGACTTAGTCACTCCAAAATCAAAAGGGACCATCTATCAGTCATAACCAACATCAAAGCCAAATATGAAGACTGTTGACCAAAGCATTATTAAGCAATTAAGCCGACAATTTTTTTTATCTTAAGGCCACTGTGACCTTGACCTTTGACCCAAAGACTTCTTAATCAATATGGATCATCTACTAATCATGACTAACCTCCATGCCAAATATAAAGAATGTGGGTCAAAGGTATCTTAAGTTTGTTTTGCGGGGGTTTAATAAAGTACACATGACCACAGAAGGAAACAATGTACAATATTCAAGACCAAATTGAATGTTTCTTGCTCAAAGGTCAGTGTCACGGGAAAGAATTGAACTTGATAGACTGAAGTGATGTAAGAGTTTTCATTAAGGCACTATCTTTTGCATGCATAAGGAGGTTAAAAAACAATGTGTCAAGTGCACCTTTAAATCAAGGTCATACTTCGAGAACAAAGGACAAGTCCTGTTCAGCTCATAATTGTGTCATTATTTAATGAATTTTCGACATATTTGGAATATGTCTTAACCTGTGTCAATGATAAGTTGCGTACATGATGTTTACATTTTCAAGATAAATATCAAATTCTGCCTGCATGATAACTGGTTGTATAATAATTTGGCATATGGCTTAACAGTCAGAGGATGTGTCATGTACATTCCCTTAAGGTGAAAGGCCAAATCGTGAGTGCCCACTGATTCTTGACTTGAACCTTTCCTCTTTATTTATTGTTAAAAACAGGCATATGTCAGAGGATGTCACGCTTAACACTCAAGTTGCCGATAAAAAGTCATATGATGGAGATATATGCGTCCTGCAGACATACATGTTTTTCTAGTTTTAGAATTTTGAAATCGATTTTAAGTCTCCCCTTACACAATAGTAGAGTTACAACGATAATCAATATTGTAATACATATTGCGATAAACTTACTATGGTCACTATAAATATTTTATATTTAAGATATTATAATAAACTAATAAACTATGAATTTTTTTTATCAAATAATTAAATAGATCTAGTAATGTCTAGATTTTTCAATGTTGTTTTCATTAAACAAACACATTGACGTTGTGAGCAGATTAAATTTCGTCTCTAGAGACAGACTAATCAGACTAAGTCGCACTGTAATTTACAAAACAGCAAGATGAACACCGTCAATAAAATATTTTTCAGCTTGAAGTAAATTATTAATTTACCGATTATAGTTTAACAGATTGATTTCTTTTTAAAAATGAAATCTAACAACCGTTGCCATTCCTATACAATCAAACTCTTTTAATCTATAATTTTAGAATGTAAAGAAGAACAATACGCCTTAAGCATTTGCCTTTATATTTCTTTAAAGGCAACATGAATTTGATAAAAAGCTTTTGTTATGCTGTTTGCAATCCACTAGATATATTTCTAATTTAAATGGGGGATTGAGTCTCGTTTAATTTCACTTTCGACTTTCCACCTCCGGGCTCATAGTTACCTTACGCATCAAAAAGAACTAGAGAGATACAGAATTAAAAAAAATGTTTCGGTTCCCTTTAATTAAGGAGGAATAAAGAATGCAAAATGCAAGAAAAACAAGATCAACAATTAAATGCGGTCAATTATAAAACGAAAAAGCGAGGAATTTACAATAGAATTTTATGAATTAGTTTATTTTCGGATACATTTTTCATTACTAAAATAAGGACGTTAAAACACAGGTCAAATGTAAGAGTTTTAATCATTTACATGTACATAACATTGGAAGACAATTTGTAAGTATTGATAATTTCTTACTATGGATATCAGTGTCCATCTCTAACTATGGGTATCAGTGTACATTTTTTACTAGGATATCAGTGTCTATTTTTTACTATGGATATCAGTGTCCATTTCTTACTACGGATATCAGTGTCCATTTCTTACTATGGATATCAGTGTCCATTTTTTACTATGGATATCAGTGTCCATTTCTTACTATGGATCTATGGATATCAGTGTCCATTTCTTACTATGTGTATCAGTGTCCATTTTTTAATGTGTGTATCAGTGTCCATTTCTTATTATGGGTATCATTGTCCATTTTTTAATATGTGAATCAGTGTCCATTCCTTACTATTTGTATCAGTGTCCATTTTTTAATATGTGTATCAGTGTCCATGTCTTACTATGTGTATCAGTGTCCATTTTTATATATGTGTATCAGTGCCCATTTCTTACTATGTATATCAGTGTCCATTTTTTACTATGTGTATCAGTGTCCATTTTTACTATGTGCATCAGTGTCCATTTCTTACTATGGGTATCAGTGTCCATTCTTTACTATGTGTATCATTGTCCATTTATTAATATGTGTATCAGTGCCCATTTCTTACTATGTGTATCAGTGTCCATTTTTTAATATGTGTATCAGTGTCCATTTCTTACTATAGGTATCAGTATCCATTTCTTACTATGGGTATCAGTGCCCATTTCTTACTATGTGTATCAGTGTCCATTTTTTAATATGTGTATCAGTGTCCATTTCTTACTATGGGTATCAGTATCCATTTCTTACTATGGGTATCAGTGCCCATTTCTTACTATGTGTATCAATGTCTATTTTTTAATATGTGTATCAGTGTCCATTTCTTACTATGTGTATCAGTGTCCATTTTTTACTATGTGTATCAGTGTCCATTTCTTACTATGTGTATCAGTGTCCATTTTTTAATATGTGTATCAGTGTCAATTTCTTACTATGGGTATCAGTGTTCATTTCTTACTATGGGTATCAGTGTCTATTTCTTACTATGTGTATCAGTGTCCATTTCTAACTATGTATATCAGTGTCCATTTTTTAATATGTGTATCAGTGTCCATTTCTTACTATGGGTATCAGTATCCATTTCTTACTATGGGTATCAGTGCCCATTTCTTACTATGTGTATCAGTGTCCATTTTTTACTATGTGTATCAGTGTCTATTTCTTACTATGTGTATCAGTGTCCATTTTTTACTATGTGTATCAGTGTCCATTTCTTACTATGTGTATCAGTGTCCATTTTTTACTATGGGTATCAGTGTCCATTTCTTACTATGGATATCAGTGTCCATTTCTTACTATGTGTATCAGTGTCCATTTCTTACTATGTGTATCAGTGTCCATTTCTTACTATGTGTATCAGTGTCCATTTCTTACTATGTGTATCAGTGTCCATTTCTTACTATGTGTATCAGTGTCCATTTCTTACTATGGGTATCAGTGTCCATTTCTTACTATGGATATCAGTGTCCATTTCTTACTATGGATATCAGTGTCCATTTCTTACTATGGGTATCAGTGTCCATTTCTTACTATGGATATCAGTGTCCATTTCTTACTATGGATATCAGTGTCCATTTCTTACTATGGATATCAGTGTCCATTTCTTACTATGGGTATCAGTGTCCATTTCTTACTATGTGTGTCAGTGTCCATTTCTTACTATGGATATCAGTGTCCATTTCTTACTATGTGTATCAGTGTCCATTTCTTACTATGTGTATCAGTGTCCATTTCTTACTATGGGTATCAGTGTCCATTTCTTACTATGTGTATCAGTGTCCATTTCTTACTATGTGTATCAGTGTCCATTTCTTACTATGGGTATCAGTGTCCATTTCTTACTATGGGTATCAGTGTCCATTTCTTACTATGGGTATCAGTGTCCATTTCTTACTATGGATATCAGTGTCCATTTCTTACTATGGGTATCAGTGTTCCATTTTTACTATGGATATCAGTGTACATTTTTTGCTATGGATATCAGTTTTCATTTCTTACTATTGGTATCAGTGTCCATTTCTTACTATGGGTACAAGTATCCATTTTTTACTATGGATATCAGTGTCCATTTTTTACTATGGGTATCAGTGTCCATTTCTTACTATGGGTATCAGTGTCCATTTTTTACTATGGGTATCAGTGTCAATTTCCTACTATGTAAATCAGTGTCCATTTTTTACTATGTGAATCAGTGTCCATTTTCGACTATGGGTATCGGTGTCCATTTCTAACTATGTGTATCAGTGTCCATTTTTAATATGTGAATCAGTGGCCATTTCTTACTATGTTTATCAGTGTCCATTTCTTACTATGGGTATCAGTGTCTATTTTTTACTATGGGTATCAGTGTCAATTTCCTACTATGTATATCAGTGTCCATTTTTTACTATGTGTATCAGTGTCCATTTTCTACTATGGGTATCAGTGTCTATTTCTTACTATGTGTATCAGTGTCCATTTTTTAATATGTGTATCAGTGGCCATTTCTTACTATGGATATCATTGTCCATTTCTTACTATGGGTATCAGTGTCCATTTATTACTATGTATATCAGTGTCCATTTCTAACTATGGGTATAAGTGCATTTCTTACTATGGGTATCAGTGTCCATTTCTTACTATGTATATCAGTGTCCATTTCTTACTATGGATACCAGTGTCTATTTTTTACTATGGGTATCAGTGTCCATTTTTTACTTTGTGTATCAGTGTCCATTTCCTACTATGGGTATCAGTGTCTATTTCTTACTATGTGTATCAGTGTCCATTTTTTACTATGTGTATCAGTGTCCATTTTTTACTTTGTGTATCAGTGTCCATTTCCTACTATGGGTATCAGTGTCTATTTCTTACTATGTGTATCAGTGTCCATTTTTTTTATATGTGTATCAGTGGCCATATCGTACTAGGGATATCAGTGTCCATTTTTACTTTGGGTATCAGTGTCCATTTCTTACTATGGGTATCAGTGCCCATTTCTTACTATGGGTATCAGTGTCCATTTCTTACTATGGGTATCAGTGTCCATTTTTTAATATGTGTATCAGTGTCCATTTCTTACTATGGGTATCAGTGTCCATTTCTTACTATGTTTATCAGTGTCCATTTCTTACTATGGGTATCAGTGTCTATTTTTTACTATGGGTATCAGTGTCAATTTCCTACTATGTATATCAGTGTCCATTTTTTACTATGTGTATCAGTGTCCATTTTCTACTATGGGTATCGGTGTCTATTTCTTACTATGTGTATCAGTGTCCATTTTTAATATGTGAATCAGTGGCCATTTCTTACCATGTGTATCAGTGTCCATTTCTTACTATGGGTATGAGTGTCCATTTCTTACTATGGGTATCAGTGTCCATTTCTAAGTATGGGTATCAGTGGCTATATTTTACTATGGGTATCAGTGTCTATTTCTTACTATGTGTATCAGTGTCTATTTTTTAATATGTGTATCAGTGGCCATTTCTTACTATGTATATCAGTGTCCATTTTTTACTATGTGTATCAGTGTCCATTTTTTAATATGTGTATCAGTGTCCATTTCTTACTATGTATATCAGTGTCCATTTTTTACTATGGGTATCAGTGTCTATTTTTACTATGGGTATCAAGTGTCTATTTCTTACTATGTGTATCAGTGTCCATTTTTAATATGTGTATCAGTGGCCATTTCTTACTATGTGTATCAGTGTCCATTTCTTACTATGGGTATCAGTGTCCATTTCTTACTATGTATATCAGTGTCCATTTTTACTTTGTGTATCAGTGTCCATTTTTACTATGGGTATCAGTGTCTATTTCTTACTATGTGTATCAGTGTCCATTTTTTAATATGTGTATCAGTGTCCATTTCTTACTATGGATATCAGTGTCCATTTTTTAATATGTGTATCAGTGTCCATTTCTTACTATGGGTATCAGTGTCCATTTCTTACTATGGGTATCAGTGTCCATTTCTTACTATGTGTATCAGTGTCCATTTCTTACTATGTATATCAGTGTCCATTTCTTACTATGGGTATCAGTGTCCATTTCTTACTATGTATATCAGTGTCCATTTCTTACTATGGGTATCAGTGTCCATTTCTTACTATTGGTATCAATGTCTTAGTGGGTTAGGCACTAAGACGGATATTTTCTACCTTCATCAACATATTCACAGGTATTAAAGATTGAATTTGAAATATTATAGTTGATTTGGCCGTTTCAGTCGTGTAAAGGTATGTCCTGTGTCTATCCTTCAAAGGAAGTAAATGTAAAAACAATTGATTATTCATGATGGAAACAATTATTCAAAATGTTAATAAAGAATGAAAAATAGTCTAATTCATGTCGGAGACTTATACTAAATACTAGTTAATGTAAGAAGTTTGGTTGTTTTGTTGTTGTTGTTTTTTGTTCACATGAAATGTAAAATTGTCTTTCAATCATGCACAATTGTTAATTTGCAATGCATGTAAATGTCATTTAAGTGTTTTACTCAGTGACATATATCTAGGAATTAAACATAGAAAAGAATGTCAGCTACCTTTAAGTTATTGATTTATTTCCTGCAGATAAAAAGACCAAAAGGAAGACGATGAGAGGATGAGTTAAGCAAATTTAATGCAACTACCATCTTTGACAATATTGTTAGAGAACACACAATTACAGTGCAATCTTGGTTTAATATCAGTCACTGAGAATATTTTATCGGCTGTTCTGAATTAGCTTTCAAGTGTTGATAAACAGTTCTCAACACCTCTTCACATGGTTGGCCAAGTGTCTGCATTTGTACTTACGTACATGGAGAGCAGTAAACAGTATTGGCATATGTAAATAAATAGAATATTTTATGTTAATACCTGTCTTGGTCTCGGAGATTTTTTCAAATGTAAATGTAAATTTTGGAATATTCTATAAGTGTAACATGAAAAAGCAAAATTTGGATTCGACCTTGAAGATCAATGTCATTTATGGATGAAGGTCAAGGTTAGTCTGGTCAACTGAATTGTCATGTCCAAGTTGTTGTGGCCAAGTATGAAGACAATACACCATAACTAAAAAAGTTATGATCAAGGTACAATTTTGCGAACAACAACGACAACGGCAACGCCGCAAGGAATTTAACAATACCTCTACCTTTTTTATATAAAAAAGTCAAGCTAAAAATGAAAGATAACAGTTCAAATCAAATGTTTATCAGTTCTTTGATAAAATTATAGGTCCTTTTTCAGAAGTACATTCAGATGGTGTTGATCTAGTATAATTTTTGTAGAATAAAATATTTTTGAACCATTTTAGTATATAACAAAAGTTCTATTGACCAGGCTTTTTAATAAATAGTAGGATTTATTTAATTATTTTTTAAAATTATTTTTCTTAATATTATGAGTTGATTAATGGGAAAGATGGTATTTCAATTTAGCAATTCAAAAAATAAAGTTCTTACCACCCATGTCTACAACAATGCATTTATCGCCAGAGGCTGCAAGGATAGACCGAGTACCTTCACATAAACAATAAATACCTGCAACCTCGGGTTCAAGTGCAATTCTCAATTCATCTGTTTGTATACCAGCCTATGTTGAAATTTAAACTGTATCATTAAATTTTCAATTATAAGTCGAACTTTGCCATTCATTTTAGTCATTATAATTTTTTTTAATTGATTTATTTATTTGTGTGTGAATATATATATGAGCCGCGTCATGACACAACCAGTATAATGAGTTTGCGACCAGCATGGATCCAGACCACCTGCGCATCCGCGCAGTCTGATGAGGATCCATGCTGTTCGATTACAAACTTTATAACAAGTAGAGAAAGCGATAGCGAACAGCATGGATCCTGATCAGACTCCGCGGATGCGCAGGCTGGTCTGGATCCATGCTGGTCGAAAATGCATTTTGTTGGTTTTGTTATGACGCGGCTCATATATATATTATGTTATTTTGGTTTTGGAGTGATATATCTGGATATATTTCCTGTCAAGATTTTATATCACCCGCGCCGACATGTAATATATTCACATATATCTATCCAAAACCAAAATAATAATTTTATTGCCCTTCCTCTGCCGAGTTAAGACGATTTTTAAAAAGATCATTGCTGTTTCAAATGAAACGTCGAAGTAAGATTCCTATTAGGGTACCCCTTTATCACAACATGACGTCACATAAATGCATGACGTATTTTTTTCGAACCTAACAAATGTAAACAAGAGAAAAGGAGTAGTCTGTTGAACGTACTTTTTTGTAATTAATACCACGCTTTAACGAAGACATATTTGTTTTCAATACTGATGAATATATGTAGCATTACTATACTTTGGTAGATATTTATCTTTTGACAGTTGAAATGTGCTTGTTAATCGGAATTCACACCGCGTGAAATCGAACCGTACGCACATCGCCACAGCGCATGTTATCTACAACTTGGGGTACCCAACGGGGAAATCTGGTGTGTATATAACCCGTCTGGCTCGGTAATATCAATTTCTTTCGGGTGATCCATATCCAAACAAAAAGACGGAAAAAAATCTGGAAGGGTAATAATTTAAATATACATACTACAATACATTAAAGACAATTTATCATAGATATATCTATCGCATTATAAGTAACACAATTATTATTTGAAAAATAACAACTTCACATTCATTATTAAATTAAAGGTCTAGTTGACTTCAAGACAAAATATACAACACAGGATAACCCATGAAAGAGAGAATTTATTTCCAATGGGGTCCTTTGATGGAAACAAATTAATTTTCTTGACAACTGGCATTCAAGTACATGCTTAGAGATGATATACTGTACTGATGTTATATTTCTAAGACCAAATAATATTTATTTCTTTTTTTCTTTTGCACATTATGTTAATTACATTTATCACATGTTACAGGAATAATACTATGAACATGACTAGTTATTACTATGAATATGACTAGTTATTGAATATGACTAGTTAAAGTAAGTGTAGGTATACTCGTATAGCAGCTTTTCTCATGAATTGTTTGGCTGAATCCGTCCATATTGCCGGCACTGTTAGTATCCATCTTATTTTTTGTATACAGTACATGGAATAATCCACGCCGAAACGCCTTTCGATGTCTTCTAACACTTTCTCTCGAAAAAACATTATTGTGGCCGACATCACTCCCATTGCATCCATTTCTTTCCCATCAACTGTTACAAAGCGTTTTACCGGCTGCAATGAAATGGTAAATAAAACAAATGCATAACGCTTCATTTATGGAATAGAAACATATAGGAACAACAGATGTGAAAACATTTTATTACGTGAAAATAATAAAATATGTAATAGTTTAGAATTACAGATGTGTCGCTACTGATTTAGGTACCTTCTGTAATGTTTGTAAATAAAATATCAGGAGAGATCCATGTGTTTTATAATTTCACTTCAGCGCTAATGTTCCAAGTCTTTGTTGTTGTTAATTTGTACGTAAGTTACAAATATAATACTTAATAATACATGCGTAAATGTATGTTAATATTTACAATGTGACTGTATGGTGACCATAATCACTATTATATGATTTATTTCTACGTACATGTAGACATAATGCCCGAACGTACTTTATTTTGAACCTTGTGTTTCTAATAAAATCCAAATAGAATATCAGTGTATTAAAATTACAATTATTTTTTTAAGAAGAAAATCGCGACGACCCAATTTGGTTCACTAGAATAACCAACTAACTAACTAACTAACTAACTAACTAACTATATATATATATATATATATATATATATATATATATATATATATATATATATATATATATATATATATATATATATATATATATATATATATATATATATATATAAATAAATTTAGAAAAAATGAATCACCTATTACCAATTGAAATAGACAAACATTTGGCAATTGATCATAATAATAGGCTCTGTTCCTTATGTCCGTATCAAGTATTTGAATATTCTACTTTAATGACATATGACGTTAATCTCTTCTTCCCAGATTTTATATTCATCCCAATATTTTTAAACTTTACATATTAATGAATAGTTGTGATTAAAAAATGTTACTAAAAATATCTTTATTTTGTAAAAACATTATGTTAAAATTAAGATAATTAATACTTTTCATTCTCCGTTTCAATTTGTTACAATGTAAAATACATGTAGTATTGAATTCAGTACTTGAAATGAACAATATGATCTCTCTTTTTTTTTGGCTTTTTAGCTAGTCATTATTGTATTCTTTTATTGCGATATTAGTGATATTTGACTGTTATTTTTCTGTTTGTTTGTTTGTTATATAACCAGTTACATATTATATGCCTTGGCTTAATAAAAACTGAAACTGAAACTTTTTTGTCAACTCAGGTAATATGAACACTATGATTGGACTGAAAAATTCTAATAAATAGCAATAGCAATGACCGATACATACCATGATTTTGTACAACTGCATTTTGAAATGCCGAAAGAAAAACCAATTCATATAATCGTCCGTTTCTTCAGGAAGACTCGCATACTTATCTTCAGCTTCAAAACCAAAGCTATGGAATTTCTTATTGGAATCAAACAATATACACGTCGGTGTTTTCTGACTTGATCCAAAATGACCCAACCAATGCGTTATGTATGTACGATTCGAACAATAAAAGGCACAACCTGAAAGTGCTGTCCCAATATCTATTGCAGCTATAATATGCTCCTCGACAGATTTACTTTTTGGAGAAAAAGACGTGTTTTTTTCAATCTGTAAAGAAAAAGACAGTTATGAAACTTGCGAAATATCAGTTTGAATTTTTCGGCGTTATTATAATGCATGTAGAATATTTCGTTATAGTTGTATATGTAGAATATTTCGTTATGATTGTATATGTAGAATATTTCGTTATAATTGTATATGTAGAATATTTCGTTATGATTGTATATGTAGAATATTTCGAGGAAACTGATTTAATTCTTGCCTCTTTTTTCTTCACATTTAGAAATTAGATACTGTAATCCGATAAGTAATAACAATCAACATGAGCTGTACGTTAAACAGCGCGCTCGACTATTATAATTACTTGTCTGGAAGTGGGTATGATGGTCTATAACACACATTAAAGTTTCAAGACAACACTGCGTATATCCAGTAACGCAGGAATATGCAAAAAAAACATAGAAGTAATACCAAATCTGTGCAACGCTATGGCCAAAACACATAAGTAAACGGACTTAAAAAATTGATCCTAAATCAAATTAAAAGAGATGTATATGTGCATATATGCATACTTTTGTAGCATGAACCAAGCGGATGATTAATAATCTATTTGCTACAAAAATAAAACCTTGATATTCTTAAATGAAAATTTATAATTTTTCTTCAGATACTTATCAGCACTGATTTGGAATATTCAAATATAATTTTCTCTTGTTTTTTAAACCTTTTGATAAGATATCAATTTTAGATATTTTGAAACAGTAAAATGCAAAATAACAATCTCAAAATAATTTTTAAATTATCCAAATTATATATTTCATAAAACAATTTATTTTTCAAATTCATTTTCAATCTTATATCGATAAAAACAAGAACTGTCGTATGACAGTAACGCTCGACAATTCGAAAAGTTGTCACAAGGGTGTTTCATTGAGTAAAATAATTCTTACCTATATGAATGCATAACATTGTCCGAAAATATACAAAGGCTTGTTATTAAAATGTTTTCCGCCTATATGACTGAAATATTGTTGGGAAAAGGCGTAAAATGAAACAAACAAACAAACATTAAGATGTTTTATCGAGTTTATCACTGCTTTATTATTATGAATGCATAAAATTGTTCCAAAAAAGGCACAAACCCTTCAGTAGTTATGGAGATACCAGCTTACAAGCAAAAACTAGAATTTCTAAGCCCCAAAAGGGGAATAATTATTAAAAAACAAATCAGAATTATTGCACTTACGCCAATTATGTTAGATAATCACAAAGAACAAGGATGTGAAATTTCAATCCATTCCCTTCAGTAGTTATGGAGAAACCAGCTTACACGAAAAAACTTAACCAAGAATTATTAAGTCAAAAAAAGGGGCATAAATATGCAAAAAAGCAAATCAGAGTTATGGGACTTGTGTAAATCATGTAAGATAAACACAGAGAACAAGTGTGTGAAGTTCCAATCCATTCCCTTCAGTAGTTATTGAGATACCAACTTACACGCAAAAACTTAACCAATAATTTCTTAGTCGAAGAAGGGGCACAATTATGCAAATAAGCAAATCAGAGTTATGGGACTTGTGTCAATCATGTTAGATAGTCACAGAGAACAAGTGTTTGAAGTTCCAATCCAGTCCTTTCAGAAGTTATGGAGATACCAGTTTACACGCAAAACCTTAATCACAGGGACGCCGACGCCAACAAATGGGTGACTGCATTAGCTTGATTATTCTGCAAATAGTCGAGCTAATAAACTTATCCTAATTCACTTACTTTTGTATTCCAATAATCTCTTTCACAAAAGTACAATTCTTATAACATATATAACAAACATTTCCACATTTATTATGTGCCTTAAAATATAACCTCCTTAGTACCATATATCCGAGATTTATGTGCACTATTATCCATTTACCACGTCGTTCCCTTCTATACACAAACATATTCAGACTAAATTAAATACTCAACTTTTTTTATCAATTGTTTCTTCAATTAATCATTTGTCCGCTTTTTTTTAACAGAAACAGCAAGATATTTATAGCACCAGATATCCGAGATTTCTGGTACCAGTAAAAATAATACTGCTCTGATCTGCCTCACGGACAAAACCTAATTGAATTGTGCGTGTGCGTGCGTGCGCGTGTGCGTGCTTAGGTTCGTTTATACTCGGCGACGGAATAAACCATATGTCCGAGATGTCCACTGTAGTAGTCGTCTCATCGGGGACGTCTTTTTTATGCTGAATCTTCCAGGGGCCCGTTCGCTCTTCGTTCAATGGTGGTGAAGGAGTCGACAATACTGCCAAGGCATCAGCTTTCCGACCAACGATAACAAAAACGACCCTTGTTAGCGCCACCCTCCAGAGTTAGTCAGGACAGGTCAACCAATCATCTCTGGTACTAAAGATGACTTGACCTTGACCTGCCGTGTGCCTTCTCCACCACGTGCACGCATCTGGAGCGATTTCGAGAAGGTGACTTACTCTTTTGTGTGTTTTAGTTTTATTTAAGCTCGGCGCCGGAAAGTCCATATGTCAGAGATCTCAGTCCATGCCGGTCCACTCTAGAAGTCTCATCGAGAACGTCTTTTTCAAGCCGATCTTCCTTATCCTGTTTTTTCTTCATTGGAGGAAAAGACAATACTGGCAAAGCATCATGTTCCGTGACGCCAGCAAACAGGCGGTTAACATAAAACGGCTCTTGTTAGCACCACTCCAGAGTTAGTCACGACAGGTCAACCAATCGTCTCTTGTGCTTAAGACGACTTGACATTGACTTGCCGTGTGACTTGCCGTGTGTCTTCTCCGCCTCGGGAGGGATTTGGAAAAGTGACTTTTTTGCACTGCGAACGCTCTATTTATACTATTTATACTTTTGTTTGCACCATTTCCGCAGTGAATAAAACAATGTTTTTGATTGGCTAATAAAAATAAAACATTTCTTGATACGGATTCTAACAAAATCTTATGAGCGTCTGCTGCCTGAAGTTTTATCTGTTTTAAACCATTGTTACTTATAAACATTGTTACAAAAAATAAACACGAAGTATATATCTACATGTATTTTATGGCGCAATAGCTTTGGTTAGACCAGTGGCTATCTCTCCCGAGGTCCTGGTTCGATCCTGGGTAACACTCGTGGGATTTTCATTTTCAGCGTTTCTTACCTAACCAGAGGTGTACTGGTAAGAAACCCAGGTAATCCACGCATGTTTCAGTGCTATACACTGGGCATGTAAAAGAACCACGGTGTATTTTCAATAAGAGGAAGGGACTGGTTCCCAGATTCCCCTGCATCTCTGAAGTGACTAGTCTAGAGTCATGTTTACCAAATCACCCAAAGAAGCTCAGCTAAGCATCCTTGATGATGTTCTGGCCTGAATACTACATAACATTACATTTGACTAAAGAAACAACTAAAATGCTTATTGTCTCTACCTAGTTAAATTTACACATTAATTGTATTTTGTTCTGATGCAAGTGGCGTATTTACATAAAAGGGAGATAATCATTTCAAGTATAAGATACGTTTTTGTCACCCTTATAACATTATTAATTTTAACAGGAACGTGCTTATTTTTTGGGCATTCGTGACTACCGCTTTGAAGGAGACCTTTGTGTTTTGTAGAAAATAATAAGTGCATAAACTTATTGAAATATTTATTTCCTTCATATTCGCTATACTTTAGACATGTCAAACTTCTACACAAGAAGGAAGCAGGAAACATTACATTGAGCTTTTTTAATGAGGTAACCAGCGCTGTTTCGGTAAATCATTCACGAATTTGGCATTACCCCGTTAAAATGGTCTCAGACAATTCAAGTCTGTTAGTGTATAAACGTTATTTTATTTAAAGATATCGACAAAAAACATAAGTCCCGATCACTATGAGTAAGGAATGATCCTGAAAACCCTTTGAATTCATGGAAATATGTTTAATAATGTTTAAACATAAAGTCTCAGCAACTATATGCGCTAATTCATTTCTTCAGTCTGGTGTACAATAAAAAAATGTTCAATTACTTTTTTTCAGCTACAGATTTCCACAATAATTCATTATTTTTTAACAATTCCTGCGTTATTCGCACATCGCTGCGTTACTGGATATACATAGTGTCAAAGGATGGAGTTATATGAAGATCAAAGTTGAAAAGGGGGATAAGTAAACAAGAGGGCCATGATAGCCATGAAATCGCTCACCTGTATATAGGCCCCTGGTTCAAGGCCAATTTAAATCAAGTGGCTTTAATTTGAAAAAAAAAATTTTAGACACCCATTAGAAGATGTTTCATGATAAATATCTAAGCTCTTGCTCTTTGGGGTTTTTATAAGATTTACTAAGTTTTTACTATATACATATATATAAAAACAATGACCCCTCCTGGGAGCGGCCAATTTTGATTCCAGGTTTTAATTTGAACAAACTTTGTAGACTCTCACTAGAAGATATTTTATGCTTAGTATCTAAACTCTAGATCTTTGGGTTTTTTTTAAAAGAAGGTTTTTTGAAAAGTTTTTACTATATTCAAATAAGGAAAATCAATGACCCTCGAGGCGGGGCCAAGTTTGACCCTAGGGCATTTAGTTGAACAAACTTAATAGACACTGACTAGATGATGTTTCATGCCAATTATTTAAACTTTAGCTCTCGGTTTTCTAAAAGAAGATTTTTTAAGTTTTTCTTTCGGTTGGCATGGCAACCAGAGTTTTGCATGGAATTTAATTCTTTGAACAATTTTTAAAGATGACTACCAAGGAAACATTCCTGTGAAGTTTAAATGAAATTGGCTTAGCGGCTTATGAGGCGATGTTGTTTAAAGTAAACGTTTACGAACGGACGAAGGACGCCGGACGAAAAACAATCACCAAAGCTCACTATGTCACTTCGTGCCAGGTGAGATAAAAATCAAAATGCATGACAGAGAAATTTCCTCTTTCCAAGATTTGGGATGATGGTCATTAACAGGCTTTTAAAGTTTCAAAGCAATACCTCAAGGGGTAAAGGGAATACAGTCGACTCCGGTTATAACGAACTCAATGGGACATTAAAATATCGTTTGTTATATCCGAAGTTCGCTAAAAGCGAAGGAGCAACAACTTTCTGACTTGTTTGGAAGGGGAAATTTGCCGTGAAAAAGCCATACTCTTCACTGGTTACCTGTGTAACCGGCTTTTTACTGCAGCGGTTGTTAAATAGTTATTTAATGCAGGGCATTTTATTGAGTAATATATTATGTACATGGTACATAAATTTATTCATGTATTGTCTATGAAGTTCTTACCATTTGTTTTCTTTTGCTATTTGTTTATTATCGTTTGGTTAATATTGCAAACACAAAAAATCGATTACTTGGCAATTATCTGGCATTTACACCAATCAACTGAGGGTGTGAAATACAAATTTTCCGAAACAAGTAGAAAATTATGTTGTGAGAACATTTTTCAAAATCTTTATTCCCTGAAGCCATAACTTACCTGTGCAATCATTCGATTGTTTAATTATCGGATAGTTTTCTTTCGGTTGGCATGGCAACCAGAGTTTTGCATGGAATTAAATTCTTTGAACAATTTTTAAAGATGACTACGAAGGAAACATTCCTGTGAAGTTTAAATGAAATTGGCTTAGCGGCTTATGAGGCGATGTTGTTTAAAGTAAACGTTTACGAACGGACGAAGGACGCCGGACGAAAAACAATCACCAAAGCTCACTATGTCACTTCGTGCCAGGTGAGATAAAAATCAAAATGCATGACAGAGAAATTTCCTCTTTCCAGGATTTGGGATGATGGTCATTAACAGGCTTTTAAAGTTTCAAAGCAATACCTCAAGGGGTAAAGGGAATAATTGGGGTTGTACGAAAAACTTAACAATAAAAGTGACGCAGACAACGACACTCGGTGAGTATGATAGTATAAAGCAATTTTATATAAGATCGAGGGGAAAAGGGTATCCTCAAAATGCCTTCATCAAACCTTAAATGGTCACTTCATGAACATGTTAACCTATATTGGTAAGAATAATACCTGGGTTGTATGTGGAACACTTGTTGCTTGACCTACTTTAGTTAGGTCACTTGGTTCGACTGATTCTCGGACACTTGGATCTTGCTTTTGAATGTGCGCACGTATTTTGTTTTCCAGTGAATCTTCCAGTTGATCTAATCCCTCTTTTGATACTTATGAAAATAAAATAAAATATTTCTGTATAATCTTTTTATACACACAAGCAATTTTCCAAAGATTTTGTCAAGAACCTCAAAATGCTAGTAAGTAAATTTATGTCAATGAATAATAAATCATCTCGTCTGTACGACTCATCAAAGTGTCTAGATAAAATCTTTTTAATATATGAACCTAATTTTACTTCTATAAAATGAGAGAAAAATATACTTACCACCTATTAGATTTTTCAATTCCATTGACGCTGTCTCCATATAACTTTTCAATTCTGAAAATGAAAAGAACCAATTTTTGCTTTAACTTTGTTGTGATTTATATGACTCAGGTAGCAATTTAAATACAAGAACCTGAAACATTATGTAAATAGTTAGTCAAATGAATGATAAAAAATACCTAAATGTGAATTAAAATTGAATTACCTCACATGTTAAAAACGAATACATTTAAAGGAAAAATAAACCTTACATCTAATTATTTTCATAATTATGGAGCATATTTACATCACTATATTTTTTCAAGATTATACACTGACTATAAGTGGTTTCAGATGCTTCTATTTACTTAATATACAAAGCATGCATATATTTTAATATAAATTAAATATATTCTGATTAATCCATACTATAAAAAGGAGGAACATATCTTAACATGATCACCTATGAGATCATTAAGTATTTCATTTAAAGTTTTCCAGGTATTTTCATCCAAATGCTTTATACGCTCTGGCAGTGATTCAAACTTATCAATGATTTCCTGCAGCTTCTCCTCTGACTCAGCTAGTTCTTGTGAATACTTATCTGCTGAACCCTTATCTAATTGCCCGGTTAAAGATGAACAAATAAGCATGTCACAGCGTTCCTGGACCGACCTATCACATTTCGATGCTAAGTGTTTCATAGTGTTTTGAATATCGCTTTGAAAAGTATCAAAATCCTTTTTGTTCAATGTTGTAGTTGCACGATGCGCTATTATATCGTTTCTGTATTTCTTCAGTTCTTTAATAAGTTTCTTCTCTTTACTGTCAGGTTTATTTAACACGTGCAATAAAACACAAAGTATCATTTGGATATCCCATGTGTCAATATCAGTATTGTCAAATCTATCATTTGGAAACAATCTCTCGACTTGCTTCTTGTGTAATTCATGCCTTAATTTCCCCCTTTTTTTTTTTAGCAGGTCATCAAGTTTTTCGTCATTTTTTTTAAGCTCCTGTTCCAGAAATCGCTTTGTGACGTACAAACATCCTCCGCAAAGCAGCAAAATTATCCTAATGTAATACTCGTTTTCTTCCGTTAACATTTTTTCTGCAAATAAATACACCATTTTATCAAAAATTTCTTGTATTACATTTCTGGACTTTTTGAAAGTTTGTTGCTAAAAAGAGATAATCTGAAAAATAGGTACATGCAATCTAGTATACTATTCTCATTTCCTGCAATAACATTTCAATGTGTGGCGGCGTGACCGAGTAGTTAACGTGCCGGACTGGTAATCTAAGGCTTGCTGACCGTGTGGGTTCAAACCCTGTCAGAGGCAAGCCGTTGTTTCCCTAAGCAAGAAAATTTACATTCATTGCTTAGTACTGGTTGGTTCCAGGAACGGACCCGAGAGTGTTTCAATAAACTTATAGCTTGCAACACAATCGAAAAATAAAAATAAACTAATGAAATTTCACAAGGAAGCCACTGGAATCTACCTTTAAGTAATGCGATGGACTTTTATCACATGAAGATGATTATCTTTCTGGGAGCAGTGATTGAAAACAAGATAATCATGATGATCCTTATACCGCTCACCTGATTATTGAGGCTCTGAATTAATATTGTCAGCAATGAATGAAAGGCAGATATATTGCCATAAACTTAAACTAAAATCAAAAGATTCATATCCGCACCTGAAATAGTGCAAATGTTAATAAGGTTTTCCAAACATGCCTTTTTATGTGCTTTGACCTTTTGTTTGACCCCAAATGACCCATAATCAAACTTGAGCTAGAAATAATACAAATAACCTTCATGACCAATTTCCAGGATACGAGGGCTACAAATGCAATCTTTAGAGAACAATTTTTTTTCCATTTTTGGTCTGTGTGAACTTGATTTTGACCATGGATGAACCATGTTCAAAGCTGGACTAGAAATCATCCAGACAATCTTTCTGACAAATTTTCAGGATATTTGGGATGAAAATATTACATGTAGTATTCATTGTTTTTCCATAATTTGGGTTATGTGACCTACGTTTAAACCCCAGATAACCTATATTCAAACATGACATAATAAACAACTAGGGAACATTTTTATGACAAATGTCAAGGCTATTTGGACCTCAACAGTAGCCTGGTTCCCCAATACTGGGGCTGTGTGCACAGCTCAACAATATTTGAACTGGAGCTAGAATCATGACCAATTTCAAAGATATTTGACCAAACAGTAGCCTCTAGATTGTTAACAAGGTTTTTTCCATTTAAATATTTAGCATGTATGACCTACTTTTTACCCAAGTTGACACAAATTCAATCTTGCTTTTAGAAATCATTTTAACAACCTTTCTAAGCAATTTCAAGGATATTTGGACCAAAACAATATCCTCTACAGTGTTAATACGTTTTCCTCCATATTTGGGATGTGCGACTTATTGTTCGACCCCAGACGACCCATATTCGAAAGGTCCGTACAAACCATCTAAGAAACCTTTTTGACCAATTTCCAGTATTTTCGGACTAAAACAGAAGTCCCTAGAGTGATAACAAGGTTTTCTATATTTGAACTACATCCTAAAAATGATCCTAAGGGCCCTGTAATAAAAACATTCTATCTTCGTCCCTCATAGCAACCTGCCAGTGCCCAGACCTAAGATCTTACTTAGAAAAATATTTCTATCTTGCTAGTGAGTCGATGTTTTTGTCAATCCGAGGAAAAAATAGGCTCCCTTAACAGTACAACTGTTTTATTTTCGATAGTCTATGCAAAAAATTAATGAACCATTTTTTTGCTTCTTAAGACAACATTTGAACAGAAAGGTCTATGAGATTCACGAATAGTTTCAGCTCCGACTATGCTCTTTAGTGTTCTCGTACTTCTTCAAACATACCTTTGGAAATACGTCTATATTTTTTAAAACGAGTTCCGTCAGTTAAAAAGTATTAAAGAACAATATCATCAAGGAATTGCAGCGTTCAATGAACGCAACCCCCACACAAACCAGCACCACATTGGCAAGGAGCCCAGCAGGAACCCAAACAAAAAAGACATGACACAAGGCAAATCACGAGCGGGATTATCACTTAAATCATACACAATAGCAAATAATAGTAAACGACAATGAAATTAAAGGAATACGATTTATTGATTGATTAATAAGCTCACAATGTGAAGGGGCGGAAGGGAAATGGACTCGAGAGTCGGTGAAAGGAGGGGAAAAATTAAACAAGAGTGTCATGGATAATTGAGTTAAAAATGTAACAATTAGAGTTTTCACAAGGTTTTTCCATATTTGACTAGCGTGACCTAGTTTTTGACCCAGGTGACCCATATTCGAACTTGCCCTAGAAATCATCAAAACTAACTTTCAGACCAATTTCCAAGATATTTGGATCAAAACACTTGCGACTTGAGTGTTTACAAAAATTTTCTATTTTTAGCTCCTGTGACCTAGTTTTTCATCCGAGATGACGTATGTTAATTCATGCTAGTCAAGCATCCTGACCAAGTTTGATGACAATTGTGTCAAAAATGTGACAACTGGAGTGTTTACAAGGTTTTCAAATATTTGGGCGGTGTGACCTAGTTTTTGACTTAAGGTGACCCATTTTCGAATATGACCTAGAAATCATCAAAACTAACTTTCAGACCAATTTCAAGGACATTCGGATCAAAACAGTAGCCACTAGTGTGTTAACAAGATTTTTCTTTTTTAGCTCCTGTGACCTTGTTTTTCATCCGAGATCATCAATGTACGAACTTATGCGAGCAACTACCTAGACAAGAATCCTGACCCAGTTTGATGATGATTGAGTCAAATATGTGATCACTAGAGTGTTAACAAGGTTTTTTTTCCATATTTTACCAGTGTGACCTGGTTTCTAACCCCATGTGACTCATATTTGAACTTGACCTAGAAATCATCAAAACAATCTTTTTGACCAATTGCCAAGAAATTTGGATCAAAACAGTAGCCACTCGAGTGTTAAGAAGATTTTTTCTATTTTTAACTCCTGTAACCTAGTTGTTCATCCGAGATGATCCATGTGAATTCATGCAAGTCAAGCATCCTGACCAAGTTTGATGACAATTGAGTCACAAATGTCAACACTAGAGTGTTAACAAGGTTATTCCATATTTGGGCGGTGTAATCTAGTTTTTGGCCCCAGGTGACCCATATTCAAACTTTCAGACCGATTTCCAGGATATTTGAATCATAAAAGAAGCCACTACAGTGTTGACAAGATTTTTCTATAGTTTTTCGTCCAAAATAACCAATGTTCGAACTTATCTGACAATTACCTAGACAAGCATCCTGACAAAGAAAGTTTGATAATGATTGAGGCAAAAATGTGACCACAAGAGTGTTAAGGAACAAATGTGGACTGACGATGGACATTCAACGATCCTAAAAGATCACCCTTAGCAAACTCAGGTGAGCTAAAAAAAAGATAAAATTTAGGGACAAAAAAGGAGATAATTACCATAACTGAGAAAAAACAAGAAGGGACACAAAAGTGTCACTTTAATAGTATGAAACTACAAACAAGATATACATCTAATGAACACAGAGAGGCACCGCCTTGGAACGGTCAGCAGGCTAAGCAATGCTGGAGAGTTTAAACCGGTTAATGGTGCACCAAACCTCTCGCTTAGTTGGTGTTGTACGTTTTCACTCCGGATTACGACAGTAAGCCACATTGAACAAGCACTTATCATAGTATTGCAAGCCATCAATAAGACCCCTACCGGTAAGAACCCAAGCAACATTCTGATGGGCCATTGGCCATTCAATTTTACCAGTGAATAAATGACATGAATGAACTTAAATCTTTTGAGTTCTAAGTTTTGTATATCACAGTAATGTGTTAAATTTCCCTGCCTAGTAAGGAAATTTTGTTTATACAACCTTGCCATATTATTACGATGTGGGATTTTAAAGTAAATCCTAAAAGGAATGAAGAAGTTGGAGTAAAAAATACCAATTTCTCGAAAAAAAAATCTTAGTTCAAGGGGGACATAATTCTAGAAATAGACTTGCTAGAGTATTTAACCTTCTCAAAAATGTTGAGTGATTATAAGAAACATATATATGAAGTTTGAAGTAGATACATTAGGAAATAAAGAAGTTATTTAAAAAGACAACATTTTTTTCCATAAAATTATAAGTTCAAGGGGGGTTATACTAATAATTTTTGTGCTAGAGTTGTAAACCTTGTCACATATGATGTTGTTGATGACCAGAAACTTGTATTTAAAGTTTGAAGTAAACACCTTAAGAAATAAAGAACTAATAGTGAAAAAGCTGAAAAATTTAAATCAGAAGTCTGGAAATTCAGTCTATTTGTTGCCATAGCAACCAGAATTTTCAACATAGGAAGAAAAGAAAAAGATGTGCATAATTTCCAGACTGTCATCTACCCCTATTTCAAGTTTCATAAAAATATTTTCAGTACTTTTTGATTTATCACTGGATCCAGTTTATGTATTAAATTTGCCATATTTTCAGACTATTTGTTGCCATAGCAACCAGAATTTTCAACATAGGAAGAAAAGAAAAAGACGTGCATAATCTTCATACGGCCATTTATCCATTTATCAAGTTTCATAAAAATATTTTCAGTATTTTTTGCTACTTTTTGCGTTATCGTAAACTCTCTTTGTTATTTGTATTTTGTTATAGGTTTCTTCTACACCTGAAATAAAATATATACAAATCACCAAGTATAATTGTTGAAAAAAAAAACAACAACACACACACACACGCCACTACATTAAGTAACGGTGACCTACAGCCAAAACAATAACAGCCGGTTTAACCGGGTGATGCGCCCCGAATAGCTTTTCGGCACAGAAAAGTTTACCTCTTGTAGTTTCAGGGTTACGTCCCTGACAAAGTTAAAAGTTCAATAATTCCAAACTAAGGCAAGACAGAGTTACTGTTCTTTGCCCTGGTTATCAACCCAATCGAACCTATCTACATACAAAGTTTCTTGTTCATATTTATTGAAAGTTCAGAACTATATTTAAGACAATGTTCAAAGTGTAAAACTAAAGAAAGGGCAAAATAAAACAAGACAGAGTTATCGTTTTTTTGCACC